TAAAATGAATAATGGACAACAAATATTTTTGAATATACTCCTAAGGGACTTTATTACTCACAATCTTGTGACTAGAAAAAAATGTCATTTACCATCACATTGTTGTCTATAGCTAAGTACATACGGCATTAGTCAATTTAGAACTGTTTCCTAAGAAGCTGTCCAAGTTATTAAAATGAATAATGGACAACAAATATTTTTGAATATACTCCTAAGGGACTTTATTACTCACAATCTTGTGACTAGAAAAAAATGTCATTTACCATCACATTGTTGTCTATAGCTAAGTACATACGGCATTAGTCAATTTAGAACTGTTTCCTTAGTGCTGTCCAAATTATTAAAACGATTAATGGATAACAAATATCCTTAAATATACTCCTAAGAGACTTTATTATTCACAATCTTGTGACTAGAAAAAAAATGTCATTTACCAGCACACTGCTGTCTATAGTTAAATCACTATTCTATCAATATATTTTTTTTTTCACCATCAAAGTTTTTAATTTTTTGTGAGAAACCTTATCAAAAGATTTCTGAAAGTCAAGTTAAATAACCAACCAGGATGCTTTCATTCAAAATAGGCAGAGGGCTTATCAAATAACTTCATTCAGTTGGTAAATGAAGAAAACCTTTTCCAATACGGTACTTTACTTACGCTCACATGTATAGCTACTTTTGTTCAGTGCTGCCCTCTATATGAAATAATTTTTTAGCATGCCACAAGCCTTGAACTCCCATGTACCCTGTGATCAATGTACTTTACTGCAACTTGCAAGTAAATCATCATGAGAGAACCCACCTGATGCATGTGACTCCCTCTGTTCGATTCTTTCGATTTATCACTTCTTGTTAGGTAGTGGTCTAGTGCTAATATTTTTCAATGGTGCTTTTTTCAAATGCTAATTTTTATTTTTTTGCAAAGTAGTGATTTACTTGAATTATTCATTTGCTAATGTTAGTTTTCTGTAGTAGTTTGCCACAATAACTTACCTGTATATGTTGTTTTTTCTCATTTTCGAATTATTCACAGTTTAAGATGAATTCCGAAAATTATGTTACAACTTTTTATATTCTTCCTACTATTTTAGTGCCTTTACATAGGCTTCAGGTTGGGAGGTCTCAGCTGAGGATTTTTTAGCTATCATTCATCAGTAGATTGATTGTTATATGAGTCGTCCTTCTTCTTTTGACATTGTTCAGGTTCCTTCTGGATCATACAAACCCGTTCATGATGATGAAGATTTTTCAGTCTTTTTCCTCCACCTAGCTATGCTGTGCCTTCCCAAGCCTCTCCTGCAGAATCTGCCAGGCTTAACTCAGCCTTTTTGGATATGATTTCACAGGTGTGTTCCATTTTATTGATTTCACAGACTTCATATGATCTTTTTCCTTCCTTGTTACATGACACTCCGTCCTTAGAGTACCTTGTTTTCCCTCCTTTTCCTGACATCAGAGTTCATGCAGAGCATTTCATTTCTCAGTTAAGGGCTGATGCTAGCATGCCTCATCCTCCACGGGCTTCTGATCATTATGCTTTGGCTTATCATCAGGCTGATCAACCCTTTCTTGATGCCCACCAGTTGAAGTCACTTTTGCCAGTGTGTGTGAGGGTGGGGTTGGAGAGCTGACCCTGAAAATTCTATCCATTTCTCACATGACCAGTCTTCCACCTTCGTCTTACCCTTACTGCTCTCCTATAGTACTTGTCCACCATACACCTTTCTGAGGCACTCCACTGATCCCCTTTCTT